CATTTTTTCTATCCCTAGTTCTCTGTAACCGAAAGCTCTGCAACGAAAAAAGTGTTGTAAGCACTAGTGTGTCTCAGATTGTAATGATTTGATAATGCCCACTCCGCCTCCCCCTGAACCCCTGTCCTTGAGGCGCCGATTTTCATAATTGTAGAAGAGGCATTTTTTAATGTCATTTATCTGATAAATACTCAGGAGTAGAATTAGACATAAAGATTATGCGTTTACACTTCCTTACAATATGTATCAACAACCACATCCTACATTAGAACTCCTGACTCAGGGGGTACTAGTATGTAATTTACAATTCTAATAAAACACCATTGCTCATCAATACCATGTTTCAGGTTATCTGTTAAATAAACAGGAGAAAAGGATTTAAATTTCAACTTTTAAAAGAATTTATACTTTCTTCAATTCTGTAGTATGTCACCAGAGACCCGCCATAATTTTAGAACCCTTGACACGTGGGCTTTGAATTTTACATTTTTCTGGGGATCTTAACTCTTTTTACAGTCATGTTAACAGTATGACTGGTTTATTTCAGGAAACAATATAAAAAGTAAAAATAATGAACAAAACAATCCATAAACAATACAAATATGTGAAGAGGGCATAAAATACAGGCCATAAAGTCTTAGAAAATTTCATTAATTTTTAAATACTAGAAATATGAGAAGAATCCTTCCTTAATTATATTGTTGGGTAGTAAATATCAGAACAGAGAATGAAAACGGAAACGTTGAATAAGAGCTTGGATTTTTTGTCCCATTTGAGAATTTTTCATTCAAAAAAAGACGGTAAAAGGCTTCAAATTTCGACATACTCGGCTAATGATAGGTGTTTCTCCTTTTATGCTAAAGGTGATGACTTCAACTTTCGTAAACTTCTCTTACTTATGCAGCATTGCTTATATACCTTTATGAACTGCATACGGGGTTTAAGTCTTCCAGTTAATATGATACGCAAAAATATGCTCTACGTAAAAATAACATTTTTACTGAAGCATCCTTTTGACAAATAAGTCAATAAGACAAGGATATAAACTATCTTGTTTAAATTAATCATTTCCTTTCTATGGTCGATGCAATGACCTTTTCAACAAAGAAAGTCCATCATTAAACCGAATGCTGACAGACGTTTTACACACCAATTGCTATAGGAAATTATTTACTATGAGTTGTCTACAGATTTTGCCACTTTCCCGGTCATAACAAAAAACACATGACGGGTTTAGCCAGTCGGCAGGGTATGCTTTCTCTCCTTGGCACCTGATCCCATCTCTGATATTTTTAAAGGTCCGTGTTTACTTTCGAGTTGTATTGTTTTAAGGAATTTTTTGCTAGATTCCTTTTTTTTTTAATCTCCATATTTCACTTTGAACAGGGTATGCTTTCTCTCCGTGGCACCTGATCCCATCTCTGATATTTTTAAAGGTCCGTGTTTACTTTCGAGTTGTATTGTTTTAAGGAATTTTTTGCTAGATTCCTTTTTTTTGTTATCTCCATATTTCACTTTGAACAATGTCAAATGGTACTAGAAAGGATGGCCATTTCAAATCTTTCTACATTTAGTATGAGTACCCTGACATAGTAAGGTAGGTGGTAAATATATGAGTTACATTGGAAGACGTGAATGATTTGTATGTAATTTTTAACAATGCGCTTTTGGTGCATGGAACGTACGGTCTTGTTGTTTCTAAGGATAGTTTAACTTTCTCACTTAATTATTTATTGTTGTTCCTTTTTTTTTTCTTGAGATTGACAATACGTTGAAGATCAAATTACTGCAAACAAGTGTAAATTAGAGGAGAAGAACCAGTTGTAAGATAGAATATCAGGAATCTTAACTCAAGCATAAGAAGAAACCTAATAAAATTGTGCTTGATTGCCGCCATTAGCACGCCTCGGTTGACGACTGGTAACGTTTTTGACGTAAACAATGATCTTGATCCTTCGTCATTACTGGAAACTCATCGTATAACTTTAATAACGGGATATATTTCTCTGTCGATCACTCTCGGACCGAGATTGAAAGATTTCTTATAAATAAGTATACTATAATTGTCTTTTTTGCTTTATCCCAAGATAGATTGGAGGTGTTTTTATTATATGATAAGAATGTACGATTATTCATATATAAGAAAGTCGAGAAAAAATACTGGACAAAGGGATTAGTTAAATTGACAAAGATAATGCCAGAATCTTCAAACATGAAGAAAGATATTGTTTTACTGAGTAATCACGTCAAATATGATCGTAAGTCAGAATATAGTATTGTCCAAATTATTAAGATAATGATAACTGATATTGAAAAGATACAATAATTATATACATCAGACTGATCCATCGTATAACATCAATCTGATACGACCCAGTTCCTGGAATGGTGCTACCATAAAGAAGTCAATAAATATGTTGTGTTATGTTTATTTATAGGACCTTATTGATGCATCAAGATTGATGCATCATGAAAATAGTAATTATTAAGAATCCTAGATGGCAATATCCTTTAATCAACCTGATCATATTTGATTAGATGGGATATATCTGAAATATTGAAATAATATTGAAATAAGATTTTGAATAAGCTAAAAGACACATCTTTGTAATAATTTTTCTACGTGTTTCTTTAGTTAATACAAAACTATCATAGCTACTTTCTTTCCTTACGACTCTTAAAAATTCTGAAATTTTTGTGGATTCTGTATGATTACTGAATATAAATTTTCATATTCGAGCTTAATTAATCAACTGATACAACACACAAATTACGAGTAAACATTCTGAGATTTAATGATCAAATTCCTAGAAAATAACCAATGACTATCAACAATTCTACCTTATTTGGAGATATACTTTTATCAGGTAACATACATGAAAGGGGAATTGAAAATGTTTACCAATGTCTTCTGTGTATCTTTCCTGACTGATTTGGAATGGATACAGTTTCATACTTACGTGTTTTCCACCAGAAGGTCGGGAGTCCAGACCTCTCCTCTGGACACTAAAATTTCCTTGACATTGTTGAAATCTGTGGCATTCCAGGTTAGAAATTCGTCCGTCCACGCCTGAAAGAAAAATGATAAATCACAGTTATAAAATCATGGTCTTTGTATGCATAAATGAAGACAAGATCATGAAACATTCAATATACTAGATATTTTCCCTTAATATTAAGATTCTACAATTTTCTTATAAAGATGCTGCTGCTAGTTATTCCACTTTCTCATTAAGAACTTTTGGAAAGAGTTTGTCGTGTGCAGCTGATAACCGGAAAGTACTTCAAGTGTTTTATCAATATATACGACATGTAAAAAAAAGAAATTTTGAAGAAAAAAATATTTTCCCGCAGATCATCTTAGTCAAATGCATGGTGTAATGGATAAAGACAAGCATGATTTTAACAATTAAATTAAACTCGGTTGAATTCATGCAACAACTATTTTGTTCTTACGAAGAAATCGCTTTTAAGTGAATGTAAATGATGTAATTTTAAAACCACATGTATTGCATACGGATTGCTTGCCTAAATCCAAAATGGTGATACAAGTCGGAAATTTTTGAATACTTAGCGACTTCGATAGAAATGGCTGCATTGATATATAATGATTAAAAATATAGTTGAAACTAATCATTTATTTCACAATACGTACAATTCTTAGCCAAGCATTAGTTGTCAACACTTGATTCTTGAGATCCTAAAAGTAAACAGAAAACAGATAATGATTAAAGTTTTGCCTAAATACAATTTTTCAAAATGGACAATTGGATCTTTTCAGACCCTTAAGGGCTAGTACAGATTTCTTTTTTCTATGAATACAAGTAGCGAGGTTAATGTGATTGCATGCTTAATCATAGGAACAGTGTCATAAAGAATAGGATCCCTCGCTGTCGAGCAAAGAAAAGAGAATAGATAGTCTTGTCAGTATAGGGCCAAAGGGAATGCTTGCCAATATACATTCATAGAAAAACAGTTCCATACAATGTAACAATAAGGGTATTAGTTGCATACTTCTCTCTCCAATTGATCTGTTGGGTTTCTGTAGTTGGCATGAATTAGATTTAATGTATCATGTAAGGGATAAATCAATTTCGCCAATATAAGAAAAATTTCCACTGTTCACTTCTTGGTTGAATGTGTTTTACAAGAAGATTATAGACCTTTTTACCTATATCGCTTTGGTATAATTCATTGAAAACCTTCTGTTCTTATCACATTTAAGTTTATTTTATGATCAATTTAGACATGGTTTAACTAATTGCCTAGTTGTCAGTATAGCGCTGGTTAGAGTCTCTGCTCTAGAGTCACGAAGCAAGGAGTTAAACCTTATGTCGTGGGTTCGAATCCCACTGTGGGACGTGGAAACTGGTCCTTCTGATGAGACCGTATAAACCGTGGTTCCTTGTCGCGGTAGGTGTTGACAAGAAAAGATCCCATAATGCTGAATGACTCTGAGTGCCGAGTCTAGGTATAGATAATAGACCGTCAAGTGGTGGCGTCTCCATATGAGAAGAAAATTCTAGAGAGGGACGTTAAACAACAAATAGACAAGGATTGCGTATATAATCAAAATTTCTGTAGAAGTTCGTTGCAATCAATTTTTACTGTACATGTATATAAAAAGTTGTTGTCACCAGATGTTTGAAATGAAAAGCAAATACATGTACATTATACTTTCCTTCATAACCAGTAAATATGCACATCCTTAAAACCTATGTATGCAATAACTATGTATTTTTTATTAACTAATCCATTTTTAAAGTTATTTATTTGAAAGAGTTCTAAAAAGTAGGTTCTTTCATTAAACGGACATGGACATAGTTTCAGCTAAAAATTTTAATATTTATTTTTCCATTTTTACACTAATGATCATCAAAAATTTGAACTTCAGTTGTCGAGAAACAAGACAAAAACCTTAGTTTTTTAAACGGGCCCGTGCCATGTTTTTGTTAACAAAGGTCAATTTACTAATATATGTTCGTTTACAGCAGATAATTTCAATAAAGAAGTTAATTTTAAATACGATTAGACAGTTTCTAGTGATTTGCTGAATTTCATTTTGTTATAAATATGATATTTTCTTTATGTAAACAAAAACAAGACACGAGCCTTGTTTACGTAATGAAGAACTTTAAGTAATGTATCTCATTTGTTAATCTACAAATAATGTTCAAATTTTAGCTGATCATCAGATGATGCCTTAGTTAGGAATTGTAAACATTAAAATTGGTTTTAAAAAATTAGTTGAAACTATGTATCTCCATGTCACTTTAAAAACACAAATGGACCAACACGAAATATTTTGTGTGCTCTCATCCAATTTTCATGAATAAATTTTACAGAGCTAATTTGACAAAATTCAAAATGTCTTCCCTCTTTGTTAATGCAAAGAGTAACGATTGCAATCATAGCGGAAAAAGGCATTTAATCACCTTCCCGGCTTATGTTCAGTTCTGCAATTTCGCAACCGTTATCCACAGAAACAAAGATAATATTTCATTGCAAAAATAAAGAAAACATTGTGTCATCTAGCAAGTGCAGGCAAGAAATTTCTTTTATCATCTATCCCATTCAAATACCAAATTTACATGAGGCTTGGATGAAATGGACAGCAAATCCTTAACTATTCCTAGAATTAAATTGCAGCAAATTAGGTAAAAGTGTTTCCTACTGTATTAACCCCTTCACTTCCGTACCGGTCAAATTGACCGGTGGCGCGTTAAAACACGACTTCGCAAAAATAAGATCTCCGTATCTTTTTTATGGTAGCATGAAGGTATATAATCTATATAT